TTACTATCTAAGTAATAAAAAATAAACCGAGTTTAAGCGCTACGAGTACTATAAAGATCTATAATATACTAAAGATAATACTCCTCCGCTACTTACGTAGTACTACTATCTAATGTAATAGCCCTCCTAATTCTATAAAATTAATTAACCTTAAAGAGAAGACTATTATTAAATATATACTTAACTTAGATTCGTAATATTACCCTCCTTAGCTTAGTAAAGTTAGAGATATAGCCTCTCGATTATTTACGGATTATAGTATACTATTAATCGGGCTATAATAAGTAATAAGCTTTATTAAACGATAATTAATACTCTAGACGTATTTCTTTTATAAATACGACTATAAAAGAGCTTAATATAAAGATCCCGATATAATAAATATATAGTTTTAGCTTATATAGAACGTAATTACGAAATATAGTATAATAGACTCCGATATCTATAATTTTAATAAGATTAATTTCTAGATAAGAGTAATCGTTAATAAGACGGTTATTATAAATATAGAAAGATATTCTAATATAAAAATAAAGTAGCTAAGTAATTAGGAATAGATTATAATAATTTAAAGTATTAGTATAATTAGATTCTATATCTTACTATATATTATAATTATAAATAAATATTATTTCTTAACTTAGTACTAAAATAATATAATTCTATATAATTAGAGAATCGTAATATCTCTAAATAGTTAGACGATAAACGAAATTAATCTCGATTAGATTTAGTATTTTAATTAATATATAAAAACTAGAAAGTTAAGTAGTTATCGTATCCTTATCTTAAATAGCTACGAAAATTACTATTTAATTAAATTTAAGCTCTACTATAAAGAGAATAATATTATTACGCTCTATATACCCCTTTATTTATTATATTTACTTTAACCTCTTAATATTAATTATTTTAACTTATTTAAGAAAGTATATAATTAGTAAATCGAGATTAAAATAAAGGTTAATATAAACTATATTATAAAGGAGGACTTCCTATTTACGTTTTTAGTTATATTCCGAGATATAATAATAGAAAAAAATATCTAAAACGGTTTTCGAGGGGCTAGATTTATACTCTATAACTTAGAAATAGTTCTTTTAAAGCTAAATATAAAATTAAAAACGCTAATACTATTAAGGTCGTTTTATAGGCTATTTAATCTCTAGACTTCCTAAACGCTTATAATTACTATATAAGCTATTTTATAGTCCGATTTTATTAAAGGTCGTATTATTTATTATAAGAGTAACTTACTATCGTTAATTTTAGATACTATCGAGTAGTTTACGAAAGGTATACGTAATATAATATACTAGATCGCCCTTTTAAAGTCTAAGGTCGTAATACTTTAAGAGGAGAATACGATCCTTAGCTAATACTATAGGGCTAAAAAAATATAACTCTAATAAAGAGGAAGCTTTACTCTAAGCGAGGGTTAGGACTAGATTACTTAGAGGGAGGTAGATTCTTAGGTAAAGGAGGAAATACGATAAAATCTAGCTCTATCTATATACGCTACGCTAAAGAAACGGAGCTATAGCGTCTACGGAAAAACTAATTATAATACTAGAACTTATTAATAGGTTACCCTATTATCCTCTAATAGCGATAAATAGTTTTTATTTTAATTTAATACGTTATTATTATATAATAATAGCTTAGATCTATAGAATAAGGGTTATATAGACTATTTACTATATATTTACGTTAATAGAATAGTATTAACCTAGATATCTATAAGATAGCTAGGTATATAGCTTAATAAGGCCCTATCCTTTAAGTACTATATCGAGAAAAGGGTAGCTTTAGTACGATCTATAATAAGATATATCTATAGGCTAAATAAAGTAATATATAGCGCCTTACTTAAAGCTATATATAAGGCTATATATACTATAATACTACTTAAGGTACTATATAGATTAGAAATCTAATATCTAGGGCCTTATTAGCCCGCTACTTTTAGAAAGAACGGAGAGTTCCTATCTATTTAGAACGGCCTAGTAAAGTAAATTAATAAGATATAGGTAGTAGTTAACTTAGTAATTAGAAGTACGCTACTTATATAGAAGACTACCTTAATACTAGTAATATTAAGAGAGTTAAATACTCTTCTAGTCCCTATATTACTAGATATAGCCTATATTCGATATACCCTTAAGATCGGCTCCCTAGACGTAATATACTTACTAGTTCCTCGTATCTCTTAGTATAAAACCCTCTATAATAGAGGAAACTCCCTATAGCTTATTATTCTTATTATTATTATAAATATAATCCTCTAATTCCTAAAACTAATTCTATTCCTTAAAGAATATATAAAAGCTCCGATACTCGATATTAAGGAAGAAATAGCTAAGTATTTTAATTACTAGGTCGAGTCCCTACTTATAATATACCTCCTTATCTTTATAGATAGTTCCTAGCTCGTAAGATTATCGGGCTTTAGCTATATAATCTTTAAAGGTAATTACGAATAATATATATATAAAGGAAGCTAATCGCTACTTAGAGTACAGGTATTCGATATAGAAGTTAAAGTAATAAGAATAGGCCTAAAGGAGTACCTCTTATTATATATACACGATTCTATTATTATTATAATAATATACCTCGATAATATATTAGTAATCTAGTACTTAAATAGAATACCTTTAATATCTTTATAAAAAGCTATTATTAAGTTTAAGAAGCTTATACTTAGCTCCCCTATATTAATTAATACGAAATAGTCCTTAGGATATATAAGAATATATAATAATAAATTAGCCGATTTCCTCGCGAAGAAAAGAGTTAATAAAACCCTAAAGGAAAACCCCCCCCTAACTTTTAATTATATTAAGAAGCTCCTATAGAAGTAATACCGCTTAGAATATAAATATTAATAAGAAAAAGAATAACCTATTATTTACGTAGAGCTCGACTTAAAAGCTATAATAAAACCTATAGAGGAACTTAATATCCTTAAGAGAGGGGAACTATATTACCTTTTAGCGGCTAGGATAGGATATAGGGACTTCGAGAAATATTACTTACGCTTCGGATATATTAACGCTAAAACGACCTACTCCTATAATAAAGATAAAACCCTTAGTTATTTACTATTCTATAAGAAGACCTACCTTAGGTCGAACCCGCTATAGATAGGCTAATAATAATATATTAATACGATACTTAGTATTAATTAAGAATCCTTTATTAAGTTAACTAGAGACTCGGATTTCTTTAATACGATTTACCCTAGATATTAAATAAGGATATAACCATTAATTAGACCCTTAGCTATTACTATAGCTCTCCCGAGGCGCTAACGCCTAATAGGGAGCTAACCTAATAATAATAGATAACCTAGTACTCGATATAATATATAATATAGAAAAACTCGATATAGAGTTATTAGAGTCCCTAAGTAACTACGGCTATAAGGGGTCTCTAATCCTAGTAGTAGCTAGAATACAGGATTTCATTTATATAAGTAGTATATAGGGATACGTAGGCGCCCGTTTACCCCTAGGGGATTTCAAGGCGTTTAAATATATCATCATCATCATCATCATTATCACATTCGTGGAAGGAGCTGCCACGAAATGGTTGGCCCCAAACACGGGAGGCTACATGAACGAGGGCGACCGACATGATCCTGACTACATTGAGGCTTTTTAGTGCTCCAACTACGCAGCTCATCTGGCAGCGAAGAAGAAGTTTGATCCGACTGGAATGCTTTGCTGCCCAACCTGTGTCGGTGCCGAGGCTTTCATTGAGCAACCCGATGGACCATTGTGCAGAGTATGACACTCAGATACATAGATAGTCTCCCAATCTTTCTATTTCGCCTCATATCACGGCTTCCTGGGTAAAGTGAGGCTGTAGAAACGCCCACGACAAACATGACACGTGGTGCTCCACAAAGCTCTGGTGTGAAGCGCCTGCCCAGAGTCAGGGAAGCCGAACGCCGCTTGCTCATTGCAACAATTCCAAGCAGACGGGTTATGAGCCTTTTCAGCGAGCCATTTGCTTCATGGCTCAACAAAATTGAAATCAGTGTTGAGTAAGAGAGGTCTGCGAGGGACCAGCCTCGATATCGGAGGAGGACGAACGTGATCAACGATCGTTCCTCAGTCTGATTAAGCTGAATAACCTGAGCAAAGACTTCTCTAGACCATGTTGAACCGATTGATATTTCTCTTATTCAACGTTTTGGATGCTAGGATGTCTCGACGATTACCCTTCGACGCGCATGAGGCTTTCCAATTTTTGCGGGCGATAGACCTTTAGTCGCAACCTGCAGCTAAAGTCTCAATATTTGCTCGTGATGTGGTCCGTGATTGGTCGTTTTACGTGCTCTCGGCGACCTGAAAGCATAGAGAAATCACCTGAGTGCAGACAGAAACCTGCTTGGCATTCAAGTCGCGCCCCTACTTCGCGCCTGACATTGGTTGGTCTTCTGATAGTCACTTCATAACTCACGAGGGACGCCTGATGCATCACAATGACCGAATCTCAGACTGTCATGACTGGGCTGACTGAGGTCTAGGTGACTAGTCTGGCAGACACCACCCCGAGCTAGATGCTTGCTTTGCTCAGCCTCACCGCCAATATGGAAGTAGTACGCCACGTGTGCAAGCCATGCTGCCCGAAACACCTGTGTTTCGACGAGGCTTTGTGCTGTGTTACCCCAAAGCGGTCGAGGTAGGTAGTGCTCAAGCCGTCTCTGGCCTGCCGCCCCCGGCTGTCATGTGGGCACATATTCCAGGGTTGCTGCGACAATGGCAGAGGACGTGTTCGCCCGAAGAAAGCCATGTGTCCGATGGCCCGCGGTCTTTTCAAGCGCCATCGCCCCATCAGATTGATGGACGTTCCCTTAAGAACGAGCTGCCAACCGACTTCCACCCACTTCGCTCGGTCTCGTCCAGCTTTATCTGCTCCTTGATTTCGTCTCCAACTTTGCAAGAGGCCCACAACCACAACAATCGCGGCAAGAAACGGTACACTCAAAAATGCCGGAAGTTGCAGTCTTGGATATGAGGCGTCAGTCCTTTACGACGCATCCCCAAGAGTGGCTCGGATGTGAGTCTTCTCCTTGCTTCAGTCTCCCACTTCATCAACCTCGGCCCAGGCCGCGAACGTCCCGCACGCTGACAAACGGAGCCAGCCAAACATTACGAGGTCGTCCAGCTACCGCGATGGAGAGCCAGCAAGGACGTTCGTTTGCCTAGCAAAAGTGGCAACGGCGAGTATATTGCCACCGTACATACTTGGAAGCTGGGTCTTGGGTACAACATGAATCGATTCATGGGGCAATCCAAGCAGCTGTATGTTCTCACGAAATGATCAGCACTGTGTGCATTATCTGCTTGCTGGCCTTAGATTTGCATGCTGTTTATCGGCGCCCAATTGGTAGTTGAGCACACGCGAACGTTGGGTGTGGTGGTTGCAGATGACAACGGAGGTCGTGTTGGAGTAGTTGACTGGAGTAATGAAACGATCATGCGCTTAATTCGCCGTCCCTTGATTGGATTGTGCCGCTGCGTATCGAGAGGCTCTTGCCTGGCCATTGGGCCTGGTTTCATGCCCTTGACCCGAAATGTCTCAACTCCGGGCTGATCACTTGACATCGAGCTACGATTAATGGAGTGAGGCTGAGCGAGAAACTACATCGACTTGCACAACGGCGGTTGTTTGAATCTTTTATCATTCTTGGCTGGAGCCTTACCATTCATTTTGTATCATTTCCATCAGCATCGCCTTCTGGCGCTGCTGAATTGTGACTTTCGACGTTGGAAACGACGGATCCGTGCTTGTGAACCCTCAAGAATCGAGGAGCTGGATTTTTTTTTTCAATAGTTTAGACCAAACACGAGCGCGATAAGCAGTAAGATAAGAGCACGAAGGTATAGATGAGGGGCTTTAGTGGCTGAGCTGCCTTATTCGCTTCATTGGGAGGGACAGATGTGATATCACTTTTTTTGGCGGGTAGAACGCCCAGCTCAGCGTCCTCTGAGAGCCTGGAGCGCTCCCCGAGTGGCAGGAAGAAAGCCATCTTCTGCGGGCTACGACGGCTGCAGCTGCACGCCCGGCCTGAAACAAGAGCCTTGTCACCTTTGAGCCAGCCAGCACCCGGAATTCTCACACGGCTGACTCAGCTACCACGCCTTTGCATTGAAGATGGTGTTGTAGGGACGCTGGCAATCGAGCCTGGCCGCCATCACAGTAGTACAAGGTCAAACAGCTGATTCTACCATCGACGTTACGAGAACATGCCTCATTGCACGTGCATTTTGCAGTGGCAAGGCTCTGGGACTCTCTGCTCATTGTCTGTGGTTTGCCATTTTTGGTTGAGGCTCGCATACGAGCGCTCTGCTAAGCCGCCACATTTGGCAGAGGGGGAAGTGGCCACGCGACATCGTCCCGTTCCTTGGAGCTGAAGAACTGTGTGGTACACCCTGGCTGATTTATTTGATTATAAACCGATGAGGCAGGATCGCGTCGGATGTGACTCTTGCTTTCAGCCCTCACATATCGCCTACTCTCGGTCCGACTCGTACACATCGCTACCTCTTGTCTATGGCAAAATCTCGAGACGGTTCTGGTTCATCATTTACTCAACTCGACCATCAATCTACTCATCTGGTACGGCGATGGCATCAGACAGTGACGCTCTAACCATCGAGCCATCACGCTACTTCAACAGCACCGCGCCAGGTGCGTCCGCACGCACTTCGGGCACTTCACAAGTACCCGAGGCCGAAGTCCCGGTCCCACTGCGTACTTGGTCCTATAACGACGACCAAGCCCTGGAGGGGCCATGGAGACAAAAGACTGTCATCTCCTTTGGTTGGTCTCCGCTCAGTCTCGGTTCCTGGGTCCTACCGCTGACATAGCTCGACAGATGGTGGAGGCATCCGCGGGTACTCCAGTCTGCTGATTCTCAGGGCGCTCATGGTTGAGATCAGGGCTGCCGAGATACGGCTATCCGACGGTCTGACAACGGCCAGCTCTGATTACCCATGGATGTCGCCCAAGAGCCAGCAAAGAACAGCAGTGGAGGACCAAGGAGATGTCAACGAGAATCTCGATGACTTCCTACCTTGCCACTACTTCGATTACATGGCGGGTACATCAACAGGAGGGTACGTGATGGTTCAATCATTTCATTAGATCATAGTGTTAACAGGAAGAGACTCTCGGCCATCATGCTCGGAAGAATGCGACTGTCAGTAGATAATGCTCTAAAGCAATATCTTGAGTTCGGCAACGAGGTCTTCGGAAAGCCTCGCCTGTGGCACGAAAGGTCCTGGGCGTGGTATCCCCGGGCAAAGTACGCAACCCGAAGGGTGCGCGGTGCCTTCCAGCAGATGATCTATCGGAACCTCCCGGGAGACCATGAGCCGATGACGGAGACACGGGCCAAGACGGAGCCGTTCAAGTACCGCGGGGACCGCACACGCACGTCAGTCTGCCACTCCGAGAGTCCCTTTGGCCCTTTAGTCTGCTGACATGTGTGTAGCCTGGTGTTCTCGTTCCGCTTCAACAGGAGCGGCGGCATCGATCACGCGTGCATGTGGCGGACCTACGACAAGCCCCGTGCCGATCATACCCAGCAGCCGAACGACAGGCCTGACTTCAGCCCGCGTCCAACAGAGCGTGTCGACACGTTCGCGCCGGAGAGCTCGCCGACTAACAGCACCCCGATCTGGCAGGTCGCGCGGGCGACATCGGCGGCTCCGCGGTTCTTCGAATGCATCAAGATGCCGGACGGGAACAAGCACGTCGACGGCGGGCTCGCGGTTAACAACCCTTCCGGGGCAACACTCCGGGAAGTCATTCGACTGCACGGCTACCCCCCTAGCCTCTTCATAAGCCTCGGCACGGGCAAGAAAGGCTCCTCTGATATCAATGGCGGTTCGGTGCCGAGAGAGCCGGACTTTCGGCTACGGGAGAGAAATATCGACGACGTCCGGCGCAAGCAAGCGCTGATGAAGTACCTCGAGCTGGGGAAGCACTGGAAGGACTACGCCGTTGATACCGAGGGCCCCAACAACGACTGGCTCATCGACACGAGAACCCAGAACGTCGACCGCTGCCGCTTCAACGTCGAGGGCGAGCTGTGGAAGGTCCCGCTGGACGACTGGCGGCCAAAAGTCTCGGGCCATGTCACGCTGAAGATGATTCAAGCTGAAACCGACAAGTACTTGGCGAAGCGCTGGGTGCGGCAGAATCTGGCCGACATGGCGGGAAAGCTCGTCGAGATCCGGCGGCGGCGGGCGCTGACGGAGCGCTGGGAGTACTTTGCCGTGGACACGGCGTATCGGTGTCCAAAAGACGGGTGCGGGGCGCTTGAACCGCCTACGCGAGAAGGCCTGCGGAGTCATGTCCTTAATAGTGACCCGCATAAAGGGGAGCAGAAGGGGTTGACTGAGAGAGAGAAGGAAGCATATCTGAGTACTGGCCGGTATGTGTTAGCGATAACGTCTGGATAGTCGGTGATGGTTCCTTGCATTATAAACTGCCTTAGGTGATCTACTTGGAGGAATCATTGGGAATGTTCATTGCTTATTTGTATGGCGCTGTCACGTTTGCATTTAAGACCAGTGATACCCTGATTCGTCCGCTCGCTAGAAGCAGCATACCCCCAACCTTGGCCTGCCTCGAGCGACCCATGGGTGCGTTCTGATGGAGGAGGTCAAGTGTGGAAGAAAGGTGTGTGTGTATTGGGGAGCTTTTCTATCGGGCAGGAGGGTGCCTAGAACTAAGCTATAGCGGGCATGAGGGCACAGGGCCCCTCGCACCAGGTAAATTCCACCAACTAACTAAGTCAATACTTCTACTAATACCCCTCTATAGGCTATCTAAGATATACCAGCTGTTAAGTCTATACGAGTCCTCTATAAGCAGGTGGTTACATGGAAATATATGCCAACTGGTCCGTGCACCTAAAGCCGGGCTTACTAACATGGACTTGCAGCACGTAAGAACCAGTACATTCATTAGGTGGAACATCTCTGGCCCATGCAATGCGCTGGGGAAAAGATAGAAAGCTTACAAGTCCAAGGAGAGAGCTCAGGCCGTCGTATCTATATCGAGATGATAGGTTATAAGAGCATATGTACATACCTAGTGCATGAGAACTATTGTGTATATTTCTGAGCGTGTTGAACCAATATTAGGGAATCACCTGGGAAGGTGATCATTGTATGGGATTCACCGATATGGTGATCACCGGGTCTGGGATTCACAGCTCTCAGGAGCACGTAAATCACGGCTTTCGTGATCGGTGAATTAGATGGGTATAGCTGGCTTGCGTAGGTAGTGGTAATTCAAAGAGATAGCGTCAATCACTAACCAAGTCTTATATCACCTACCCTACCTAGTCAGAGCTCGCTGGCATAGCCAAAGCTATTAAGCAGGGTTCATATAAGCAGTGGAGCCCTCTCAATAGAAAGAAATAATAGGTAGTGGAGAAAAAGTCCCCTGTTTCATCCACACCACAAGCTCGAGCCTCCGAGCACAACCTTCCGACCATGCAAAATGTCGGCCCAAAAGGCAAAAACATACAACACCAGGTATTCGCCGGTGGTCACCCACCCGACTACTGATCCGGCCCTTACTGATTTATCGATGGGAGAGCGGACGGGATCCCGAGTTTTCCAGTAGGTATGGTCGTATGTGATGGAGATGTTTTCGCTAGGAACTTATATTCTAAATGGGGGTTACGTGTCCATCTCAGATAGTCGCATAGCAGTCAGCAACGTATGCGACTACCTGCACCGAGCACTTAGTAACGGACAAAACTGGGGCTGGCGAAATGAAACATATCAATGGACACCGCGCGATGGAGCTGATCTACCAGCACTGCGAGTACCACTGGTTGCTGACGCGAAAGGTTCCGGAGGAGCAGCACTTGGGACCAGTGAAACCGGAGCCACCACACTGGCCGTATAGAGAAGCACAGCCCGAGGTGAGTGGATGAGTCGAAGGAGGGGTCGAAGGAGTAGTTGTCGTGGTGGGAGGAGTGGTGGGAGGAGCGGTACCGCCGCTAACACCGTTCCAGACAGCCGGGCCGGGGAACGGGAAGGTTTCGTGGCCACCGTAGATGCTGAAGTCAGCATAGGCGTCGGTGGCGTTGTAGGTGCCCGGAAACTTGACGAGGGGGCCGGGCGAGCCGTTGCCACCGTTGACGACCTTGATCTGCACGCAAGACACGTAGTGCTCGGGCTGGTTGATATGCGAACGGTGAACGCCTTGGAAGGATTAGTCATATTTTTCGGCTTGTCATTTCCGATATTACAGGTGCATACCAATATGCTCAGCGCGGAAGAGATACTCTCCGTTCGGGGTATTTTTGGGAACCTTGGCGGCGATCCAATTCCTGCCCCAAGTGCACCAAGCTTTCTTGGTAAAGTCGCTGCTAGAGGTGCAGACTCCTTCCTCGAAGATCTTGAACCAGTCTCCAGATCCGTCGTAGGCCTTCACGTTGTCACCAGGGGCGCGGGACATGTAGACCAGTCCGGGGCCTAGCCGCAATAGATTAGCAATCTCATCGCCTTTCCAGTAATGGTGTATGTGGATATACCAGGATGCTCCATGGTGGCGCCAAAGCCAAGCCTGACGCGGATCTCATCGCCGGCATTGACGGTCAGGACCTCGGTACGGTCAGCAGCGGAGAAAGCGCCCTAGTTGCAGCGCATATCAGGACCATCGGCGAAAGATCCATCGCGAATGTCGGCCGCCGGGTTGGATGAGAATTTGATGGGGTTGTACTTGGTGGCGCGGGTGAAGGTTTGGACGTACTTGAATGAGGGCTGTGAGTTGCCATTAATGATGTTGGTGTCGAAGAAGTAGTGCGCCGAGGCCACCTGGGCGACGACGGCAAGAACAAAAGCGGAGACCTTCATGGTTGAAAAGAGGTCATTGAATATGGGCTGAGAAGTGAAAGAAGCTGAAAGAATGATGCTGTTGAACAACATTCAGAACCACCAAGTTGTGTTCGGATCTTGGGTCTATCTATGTTGCAAAAACCAATTTGCTACAAGCCCATAGCAGCACACGGGCCATGATGGCCTTGACCTGAGCTTGACTCGTGTTGCATGCTCAATTGGCCGGATCTTGCATGGTTGAGCGATTAGCGAAGTACGATCTTGCGTCGTGAAAGAACATGTGATCAATTGTCAGCTCAATAAGGTCTGATACCTTGGAGTTCATTGATGAAGGATTGGTCCCGTGTCCCCAGACGTTGTAATTTAAGGGTGGCCGTGGCTTCGGTAGGTAAGCCATGAACGTGGCGGATTGAGACTACCGGTGCCTCGAGGACCGGTCATCACATGTTCACCATGCACCTGATCTTGGACTGAAGAATCAGATTTGTTTAGGACGGAACGTGCTTACCGCAAAATCACATCCAATGCTAGACTGTCACGATTCGAGGATCGTTGTGTCGCTGGTGTAAGTGGTGGAATTTTGAGAGGAGCCGCCGCTGCAAATCGCCAACACACCTTAGCGGCTTCCCTGTAGCCTTTAATAAAAACGAAAGGCTGAGATTCTAGGAAAGGCCAGGTCGTGGCCAATCTGTGGTGCTTGGGAAAGAGGAGGCCCCTACGCTGCAGCCAAGGTGTAGCACATAAAGGGGTAAAGCTGACACGCTCAACTGACACGCCTGGGTCTAGGGCGAAGCTGACAGCAGGAACTGTCACGACTCCAAACATGTTCATTTATTCGATTATCTTTCCAAAAAGAATATGCCTCAATGTCTACATGGAGAGGAGTCACATCCAAATGAGGAGAGACTAGGGCTCTGCTTTACTGACATGGGGAATTCTTCAATCCGTCTTGTGACCATGATTATATTGGTTCTTCCGTCGCTACTAGTCCGCGGTATCGACTGGAGTGGTTTCCCGCTAGGAAACATCGGCCGTCATTAGTTAAGGCTTATCAACCTAAGAGCTAGCCTCGAACATCAGAGTTGTATATTCCCCGAGACTCACGTTAGAGGTTAGCTTCGAAGTGTGACTTGATGTTGTCCATGAAGCATTGCGTGGCAGCTCACCTGGAAGCAATGTCTCGCAGTATTCGTTGCTCTAGTCGTTTCTCCAGCTGTTCGGCATTGTCAACGAGACCATAAACGAGCTAAGAATCCTATTCTCTGGCTTGTAAACCAGTGCCAAATGTTGTAGAATGGCCTGAGTAGGCGGCAAATCTTAAGAAGATATTCACGTCAAGAAGCAGAGGTCTGAGGAACAACAGGAAGATACCCCAGTTTTGTTCCAGTTTGGCGTAAATTAAGTTTGCGTCGCTGAAGTTGCTGTGCCTCGCCTTGTCAGATAGATGAGAGGCGGACAGACTAAGTGTGAGAAATACAGTAAAACCTGCAACAAACAATTTCCGTAGGTGCTCCTCGGTTCTTCGTGGGGAGCTTCCTTCAGCCTGCGGAAAAATAGAGCAAGGCCGGAGAGTCCACGTACGCGGGTACCAGTTACGCGGAATGGTATATCACTCCCTAAGAGAATGTTTACCCATGCTCTGCTTTAGCCTTTATTGGCAGGCCGCTAATAGTCGAAGGTATGAAATCAATATATTATGTAGGTCATGTGATTCTTCTTCCCACTTACTGAATATTCGTTCGGTGACTGGTATAGTACCACTTCAAGATAGTTCATAGTCAGGAGCTAATGAACAGTTACCAAAGTTTATTTTAACAAATGCTCCAATAAAAATCATTCACAGCTACCGGTCTTACTTACCGCATAACTTTTTCAAAATCAATCTCGGGGGCATTTCATTCCACGAATTAAACTACCGCTTACGGGGGAACAGCTCCCTTTCTGTGCATTAAACTGCGTTATTTACAAAGAGATAAAACTAGGCATTACGCGTATATACTACCCCGACTTTCAGCACTATTAAGTATACTCGTATCTAGGTGCCTGCTGCATTTACGCGGACCGTTTCGATCTTTTACAGAGATTCACTGCTTTATTCAAGCTTACTAAACAGTTTTAAGATACTCTTATAGTTTCCGGAGTTTTAGTATATAAGGGATAGATTCTGCAACGTTCAATAGAATGCTTCTTTACTCAACAGCTTCGTATTCGCCTCATCCCAGACCTCAAACCAAAGCCAAGATCCTTTATCCCTATCAATCTACCACCATGCATATCACCAAGACCCTCACCGCCGTTCTCTGCCTCGGCACTGGGGCTCTCTCCTACAAGGTCCGCATCTTCCCTGGCGCTAACTGCGGAGGAGGCGCCGCCCGCGACCTCAACATCTTTGACAACACCTGCAGAAGCACGGACCTCTTCAGTTTCCGTTCTTTCCGCGTCCTAGGCTACGGAGCCGGGCGACAGAGGGCCAAATTCTGGTCGGGGTCCATCTGCTACGAATCGGATGCCTTTATCCAGGATTGGTGGGCCGACGGTGGCAGCGATACTTTCAAGATCGGCACGTGTATCACTCTACCCAAGGCGGCTAAGAGTCTTGGATCCTATTCGTCCTGATTCTAGCGCTCTCTCTGGGTTTCGTGAGCAGAAGACGGTTTGCAATATCACCTTTAAGGCATGTTTCCCGGTAGGTCTTCCCTTATAAGCTCATTCAATTTAATACATGGATCATTACCTAATCTCGTTGCTAGAACGTCTTCTATACACGACTCAATGTAGCAAACCAACAAAGTAACTCGGACCTCCTTGAAGAAATCCACCTTCGGCTTTCTAGCGCGCCAAGTTGGGAGGGTGAGACCCGTTGCTTTGGATGAGTGGGTGCTTGATTATATTAGGATTGATCTATAAAGCCTTATAGAATCATTTGATTTCAGAGAATAAAACCAACATCAATCCTCTTACCCTTCAAAGTATTGCATTGGATGTTCGTCTTACTTATAGTACTGGACTCACGTTAGTGGCTCAGACCCTAGCTTGTTGCGTATTAGGAGGTATCCAGAGTGCTCTAACTATTAAAGCTAGCGCTGCCGCCCGACTAAATAAGTTAAATATAGGGGGTATATTTAATTATTTAAACTACTAAAACTAGTAGATTTAACTATTTAGTCGTATTTATAAGTATT